GACAGAGGCGGGGAGTTTTCCTGTGCCCTTCTGGGAGCCTTCTGTCGTGCACAGGGCATCCGCCAGACCTTCATGCTTCTGGCCTCTCCACAGCAAAATGGGATTGCTGAGCGCCGCATTGGCATGGTCATGGACGTCGCTCGTACGTCCATGATCCATGCGGCTGCTCCCCATTTTCTGTGGCCGTTTGCGGTTCAGTATGCAGCGCATCAGATCAACCTTTAGCCCCAGGTCTCTTTGCCAGAGACCTCCCCCACCTTGCGGTGGACGGGGAAGGTTGGCGATGCGTCTGCGTTTCGTGTGTGGGGATCTCGGGCTTTTGTCCGCGACTTGTCTGCGGACAAGCTGTCCCCTCGTGCGGTTCCCTGCGTCTTCCTTGGCTTCCCCCTTGACGCGCCTGGTTGGCAATTTTACCACCCCACCTCGCGCCGTGTTCTGTCCTCCCAGGACGTCACGTTTGACGAGTCGGTTCCCTACTACCGTCTCTTCCTCTGTCGCACTGCACCCCTCCCCCCGCCGCCGCTCTTCCTTGCGCCAGGTCCCCCCCCGGTAGACCCCCTTCCCCCTCAGGGTCCTGCCCCGTCAGGTGTGTCCCAGGTAGACGCAGTCGAGCCTGTCGAGGTAGCTGTTGACTCTCTTACTGCTAGGGGTGCTGAGCCTGGGGGTGCTGAGTCTGGGGGTGATGAGCCTGGGGTTGCTGAGTCTGGGGGTGCTGGGCCTGGGGGTGCGGAGCCTGGGGGTACGGAGCCTGGGGGTGCGGAGCTTGGGGGTGCTGAGCCTGGGGGTCCGGAGCCCGGGGGTGCTGGGTCTGCTCGTGTGGCCTCTGGCGGTGCTGGGTTTGGGGCCCCTTCATGTGCTTCGTCGAGGCAGGAGCTACCCTCTCCACAGGAGCTGCGCGAGTGGTTTGCCCGACGCTGGAGCCGTGCTGCTGGAGGTGGAGGTGCTGCTGCTATTGCTGACCCTGGGGTCGGCACTGGAGTTCCTGGAGCCACTGGTCCTGGAGGTGCTCGTACTGGCGGTACTGGAGCTGCTGGGCCTGGGGGTGCTGCTGAGACTGCTGGAGCTGACGGTCCTGCTAGAGCTGGAGCTGCGGGAGCTGGAGCTGCTGGGGGTGTTGGCGCTGGAGGTGCTGCTGGCGCTGGTGCTGCCGCTGGGGGTACTGGTGCTGTCCCTGCTAGTTCTGGAGGCGCTGCGCGGCCGCGGCTGTACTTTGTTCCGCTCCTGGAGCAGGTTCTTGGTCTCCCGCCCTCTACTGGTCCTGCTCCTCCCCTAGGGTGTCCACAGCCTGTCCTGTTGCGGTCACAGTTACAGCCCGCCTCCCCCCTACCTGCTCCTTCTCCCTACACTGGTCCTACTGGAGGTCTTGCTGAGCGTCGTGAGCCTGCGTCTTGTCCTGCGTCGCCTGTTCGTGCTACTCGCACGAGTTGTCGTGCTCCGCGTCCGCGTCCTCCTGCGGTCCCAGGCACACACCAAATGGCACTGCATCCTTCCACTGCTCCTCTGCGTTTCCCGTTGCCGTCTCCTGTCAAACTTATATGCTGTAGTCTGTGTAGGCTATAGTGGGGTAGACAATATGGGGTACAACACTTCTAGGTTTTCCTACTTGTACCCACCTGCCTGCTAGTTCATTCATTCCTCATTTCTTCACATGGTATAGAGCAGGTTCCCTAGTGGGAACGCTTCCTTGGGCCCACCACTGAAACATTTTTTTCCGAACGGAGCGACAATCGCTCCTGCCCGAGGCGCGCCTTGTGGGCTGCCCTTCTGTCGACCTCTCTTAGAGGCCCCTCTCACGCCCCCCCGTCGCCGCCCCTAGCGGCCCTGTCGCCGCCCCTAGCGGCCTTGTCGCCGCCCCTAGCGGCCATGTCGCCGCCCCTAGCGGCCCTGTCGCCGCCCCTAGCGGCCTTGTTGCAACCTCCCTCCCTACGCGGCCCCGTTGCCGCCCCTATGCGGCCCCGTCGCCACCCCTAGCGGCCCGGTCGCCGCCCCTACGCGGCCCCGTCGCCGCCCTAGCGGCCCCGTAGCCGCTTCCCTCCCTACGCGGCCCCGTAGCCACCCCTACGCGGCCCCGTCGCCGCCCCTAGCGGCCCCGTCGCCGCCCCTAGCGGCCCCGTCGCCGCTCACCTCCCTACGCGGCCCCGTTGCCGCCCCTACGCGGCCCCGTCGCCGCCCCTACGCGGCCCCGTCGCAGCCCCTAGCGGCCGCGTAGCTGTTCCCCTCCCTACGCGGCCCCGTCGCTGCCCCTACGCGGCCCCGTCGCCGCCCCTACGCGGCCCCGTCGCCGCCTCTAGCGGCCCCGTCGCCGCCCCTAGCGGCCCCGTCGCCGCTGACCTCCCTACGCGGCCCCGTTGCCGCCCCTACACGGCCCCGTCGCCGCCCCTACGCGGCCCAGTCGCCGCTCCTAGCGGCCCCGTCGCCGCTCCCCTCCCTACCCGGCCCCGTCGCCGCCCCTACGCAGCCTCGTAGCCGCCCCTACGCGGCCCCGTCGCCGCCCCAAGTGGCCCCGTCGCCACTCCCCTCCCTACGCGGCCCCGTCGCCGCCCCTAGCGGGCAGCCGAGCCGCCGAGCCGCCCAGCAGCAGCAGCCGCCCCTGGAGCAGCCACCACTGCAGCAGCCGCCCCTGGAGCAGCCGCCACTGCATCAGCCGCCCCTGGAGCAACCGCCACTGCAGCAGCCGCCCCTGGAGCAGCCGCCACTGCAGCAGCCGCCCCTGGAGCAGCCGCTACAGCAGCAGCCGCCCCTGGAGCAGCCGCCACTGCAGCAGCCGCCCCTGGAGCAGCCGCCACTGCAGCAGCCGCCCCTGGAGCAGCCGCCACTGCAGCAGCCGCCCCTGGAGCAGCCGCCACTGCAGCAGCCGTCCCTGGAGCAGCCGCCACTGCAGCAGCCGCCCCTGGAGCAGCCCCCACTGCAGCTGCCGCGGAGCTCTCGCTCTACAGTGGTAGCGGCATCGCCGTTGCCGCGGTCGTACGCCTGCCCTTCTCGCCACTTGTGAGCACTGCCCTGCCCGTACTACTGTTACTGCTGCTCTTACTGCTGCTGCTCTTTCTACTGCTACTGCTGCTCCTGGCGTGGCCAGATGCAGCTCCAGCGTCGCCCGCGTGAGTCTCTCACCCCCCAACAGCTTCGTGAGTGGTACCCTAGTTGGGGTTGTCGGGGTGGCCGTAGTGGGAGTCGTCCAGGAGTGAGTCGTTCCTCAGCTGCTTGTAGTGGCCAGGTGCAGCTGCACCGTCGCCCGCGTGAGTCCCTCACCCCCCAACAGCTTCGTGAGTGGTACGCTAGTTGGGGTTGTCGGGGTGGCCGTAGTGGGAGTCGTCCTGGAGTGAGTGGTTCGGCAGCTACTTGTAGTGGCCAGGTGCAGCCACAGCGTCGTCCGCGAGTGGTCCTCTCGCCCCAGTTGCTTCGTGAGTGGTACGCGCAGCGTGACGGGTCACGGGGTACTGCTCGCTGTCCGTACGTCATTCGCACTGGTGCTCGAACTGGTCAGCCTTGCAGGACGTTCGGTGACGTAGCGTCCCACTGCTTCGCCCGTCTGAGCGACGCCTGGCGTACGGAGTTTGGCGACGCAGCTGAGCTCCCCGATTGGGTGGAGCTGCTTCGGCTGCGGGTCGATATCTATACTCTTGACTATGATGCTATCCTCACTGCCATGTATGCATTGCCTACTAGTGATGAGGGTGACTGTTACCCGTGTGTTCCGCCTGACCCGGGCATTGAGGCTGCTGCTCTAGGTGCTGGTGAGGCTGCTGCTCTAGGTGCTAGTGCGTCTGCTGCCCCAGGTGCTGGTGAGTCTGCTCTCTCAGGTACTACGTCGGCTCAGGCCTTACACACCTTCACCCTTGACTCGGGTGCTTCCCGCTCCTTCTTTCGAGACCGCACCACACTTACGCCGCTTAGTCGGCCAATTGCGGTCTCCCTGGCGGACCCCTCTGGGGGTCCTGTCCTTGCTAGCTTCTCCACTGTCTTACCGTGCCCGGCGGCCCCCTCTGGCACCCTGTGAGGTCTCTACCTCCCCTCGTTCTCTACGAACTTGGTGAGTGGAGCTGATCTACAGGATAGGGGGGTTGACCAATTCACTCCTGCGAGTTAGCGGGTGACCCACTGCACATGTGCTCGGACAGGCCGACACTTGGCCACATTCACCCGTCGGCCGGGGTCGAGCTTGTACACACTTACTACTTAGTCTCCTCCGGCTACTGAGTCTAGTCAGGTAGCTGCGTCGAGTCAGGTGTTTGTTGCAGCGTCCAGGTCTGGTCCTGAGTCTGCTCCCTGTTCGTGTCGTCTCCTGTCCCACCAGACTCTCCTTTGGCACCACCGCCTTGGTCATCCCTCCCTGCCTCGTCTCCGAGGCATGGCTTCCCGTGTCCTTGTCTCTGGTCTCCCCCGGTCTCTCCCTCCCCTACCTCCGGGGCCTGCCCCTACCTGCGTCCCCTGCGTCGAGGGGCGACAGCCCGCCGCCCCTCACTCCTCCGAGTTTCCTCCGACAGAGGCTCCTCTGCAGACTCTCCACATGGACGTGTGGGGCCCCGCCCGCGTCCGTGGCCAGGGGCACGAGCGTTACTTCCTGTTGGTGGTTGACAACTACTCGCGTTACACCACAGTCTTCCCCTTGCGCAGCAAGGGTGATGTCACTGAGGTGTTGATCGACTGGATCCGCGAAGCTCGTCTCCAGCTCAGAGAGAGTTTGGGCTCGGACTTTCCTGTTTTGCGTCTGCACTCCGACAGAGGCGGGGAGTTTTCCTCTGCCCGTCTGGGAGCCTTCTGTCGAGCACAGGGCATCCGCCAGACGTTCACGCTTCCGGCCTCTCCACAGCAAAATGGGATTGCTGAGCGCCGCATTGGCATGGTCATGGACGTCGCTCGTACGTCCATGATCCATGCGGCTGCCCCCCATTTTCTGTGGCCGTTTGCGGTTCAGTACGCAGCGCATCAGCTCAACCTTCAGCCCAGGGTCTCCTTGCGAGAGACGTCCCCCACCTTGCGGTGGACGGGAAAGGTTGGCGATGCGTCTGCGTTTCGGGTCTGGGGATCTCGGGCGTTTGTCCGCGACTTGTCTGCGGACAAGCTGTCCCCCCGTGCTGTTCCCTGCGTCGTCCTTGGCTTCCCCCCTGACGCGCCTGGGTGGCAGTTTTACCACCCCACCTCGCGCCGTGTTCTGTCCTCCCAGGACGTCACCTTTGACGAGTCGGTGCCTTACTACCATTTCTTCTCCTACCGCACTGCTCCCCTCCCCCCGCCGGCGCTCTTCCTTGCGCCAGGTCGTCCCCCGGTAGACCCCCTCCCCCCTCAGGGTCCTGCCCCGTCAGGTGTGTCCCAGGTAGACGCAGTCGAGCCTGTCGAGGTAGCTGTTGACTCTGGTGTTGCTAGAGGTGCTGAGCCTGCGGGTGCCGGGTCTGGGGGTGCTGAGTCCAGGGGTGCGGAGCCTGGGGGTGCTGAGCCTGGGGGTGCTGAGCCTCGGGGTGCTGAGTCTGGGGGTGCTGAGCCTGGGGGTGCTGAGCCTGGGGGTGCGGAGCCTGGGGGTGCTGGGTTTGCTCGTGTGGCCTCTCGCGGTGCTTCGTCGAGGCGGGAGCCACTCTCTCTGCAGGAGCTGCTCGAGTGGTTTACCTGGCGCTGGAGCCGTTCTGCTGGAGCTGGAGGTACTACTGTTGTTGCAGGTCCCGGAGGTGCTCGTACTGGCTGTACTGGAGCTGCTGGGGTTGGGGGTGCTGCTAGAGGTCCTGCTGAAGCTGCTGGCGGTACTGGAGCTGCCGGTCCTACTCGAGTTGGTGCTGCTGGAGCTGCTGGAGCTACTTGTGCTGGAGCTGCTGGGACTGGGGGTGCTGCTGGGGCTGCTGGAGTTAGTCCTGCTGGTGGTACTACTGGAGCTACTGGCGGTGCTGGAGCTGCCGGTCCTGCTGGAGTTGGTGCTGCTGGAGCTGGAGCTGCTGGAGCTTGAGCTGCTGGGGGTGTTGGCGCTGGTGGTTGTGCTGGCGCTAGTGCGTCTGAGGGTGCTGGAGTTGGCGATGTTGAAGCTGGAGGTGCTACTGGTACTTGTGCTGCCGTTGGGGGTACTGGTGCTGTCCTTGCTGGTTCTGGAGGCGCTGCGCGGCTGAGGCCGTACTTCGCTCCGCTCCTTGAGCAGGTTCTTGGTCTCCCGCCCTCTACTAGTCCTACTCCTCCCTTAGAGTGTCCACAGCGTGTCCACTCGCAGTCCCAGTTACAGCCCGCCTCCCCCCTGCCTGCTCCTTCTCCCTACACTGGTCCTACTGGAGGTCTTGCTGAGCGTCGTGAGCCTGTGTCTCGTCCTGCGTCGCCTGTTTGTGCTGCTCGCACTAGTCGTCGTGCTCCGCGTCCGCGTCCTCCTGCGGTCCCAGGAACACACCAGATGGCACTGCGTCCTTCCACTGCTCCTCTGCGTGTCTCGTTGCCGTCTCCTCCAGAGTCCTCTCTTCCTGTCCTTGCTGACCCGGAGTCTGACTCTCTTCATACTGCCAGTCCTACTGTCACGTGTCTCCTGGCTACTCTTGTCACTGACCCTTCCTTTGATTCCACTGCTGCGTCGGCCCTAGTTGCTGAGCTTGTCGACTTTGCTTCTCGCTGTCGTCTAGACTACGCTGGTAGTCTTGTTGCTGAGTCTGAGTTTGTCTGTCCTCCGTCCGTCGGGGGTGAGTGTGCTCTTAGCATGGACATCCTTGAGGACAGGCAGGAGGAGTTCCAGTGCTTTGCCGCTGCTTCACCTCATCTCGTGTCCACGCTGATTGCCCCTGAGGGAGACCCGGATGCACCAGACATCCCGATTCCTCGATCGTACGCTGAGGCGATCGAGGGTCCCTACTCCTCACAGTGGCAGTCACCCATGGACGCAGAGATGGCTTCATGGAAGTCCACAGGCACCTACGTCGACGAGGTTCCCCCACCTGGGGCGAACATCGTCCGTGGCATGTGGATTTTCAGGGTGAAGCGGCCGCCGGGTTCTCCGCCTGTCTTCAAGGCGCGTTACGTGGCTCGAGGCTTCAGTCACCGGCAGGGAGTTGACTACTTTCAGACCTTCTCTCCCACCCCGAAGATGACCACTCTTTGGGTGCTGCTGCACATAGCCGCTCAGCGCGACTACGAGCTTCACTCTCTTGACTTCAGCACAGCTTTCCTGCAGGGCAGCCTGCACGAGGAGATCTGGCTGCGCCGCCCACCTGGCTTCACTGGGTCGTTTCCCCCTGGTACCCAGTGGAGCCTCCGGCAGCCAGTCTACGGTCTCCGCCAGGCGCTCCGTGAGTGGCACGACACAATGAGGACTACACTTGCAGCTCTTGGGTTTGCTCCTTCTATTGCCAACCCGTCGCTGTTTCTGCGCACCGACACCTCTTTGCCGCCGTTCTACATCCTCGTGTACGTCGACGACTTGGTCTTTCCCACTGCTGACATTGCAGGACTAGCCCACGTGAAGTCCGAGCTGCAGAAGAGACACACGTGCACAGACCTGGGTGAACTGCGCAGCTACCTTGGCTTGCAGATCATCCGGGACAGAGCACAGCGCACCATTACCCTGACTCAGTCACACATGGTGCAGCAGGTCCTTCAGCGCTTCGACTTCACGTACTCCTCGCCTCAGGCCACTCCTCTGTCTACTCGCCACTCGCTCTCAGCTCTGCCTTCGGATGAGCACGTAGAGCCGAGTGGCCTGTACCCAGAGCTTGTTGGCTGCCTCATGTACTTGATGACCTGCACACGACCTGACCTTGCATACCCTCTTAGCATCTTGGCACGCTATGTTGCTCCTGGGAGACACCGACCAGAGCACATGGCTGCAGCGAAGAGGGTGTTGCGCTACTTGTGCAGTACGTCGAGCATGGGGCTAGTGCTTGGAGGGCGACATTCAGTGGTCCTCACAGGTCACGCAGACGCTTCTTGGGCTGACGACCAGGCTACGCAGCAGTCGTCACAGGGTTACACCTTCAGCCTTGGTTCCGGCTCTCTTTTGTGGCAGTCTACCCGCTCGTCTTCTGTTCTCGGCTCCAGCTGTGAGGCTGAGATCTACGCTGGGGCCATGGCTGCACAGGAGCTACGCTGGCTCAACTACCTGCTGACTGACCTTGGAGAGCCGCCTCGTTCTCCTGCAGTTCTGTACGTAGACAACAAGGCCATGCTGGCCTTATGTTAAGAGAACAGACTGGAGCACAGAACGAAGCACATTGCTCTTCGCTACTTCCTTGCTCGTGAGCTGCAGCAGCGTGGTCAGCTGCAGCCTTGCTTACGTGGCCTCTGAGGCCAACACTGCTGATATCTTTACCAAGGCACTTCCGCCTTGTGATCATCAGCGCTTCTGTACGATGCTAGGTCTTGTGCCTACTTGGCCTCACTTGCTCACTTCTTGACCTTGCTTGTAGTGTGATCTTTCTATACCTGCACTTGCTTGTTTACCTTCATATATGATCTTGCATGTGAACTGGCCTTGAGGCCTTGAACTTGTGCTCGGAATGTGTGGTGACGTTGTGATCCACCCTGAGCTTGCTTTGCTTTGCTTGACTGGTCTTGTGACCTCTTGTTCTCCCCCACTTTGCCTATGGGTGTGTCAAACTTATATGCTATGGTCTATCTAGGCTGTAGTGGGGTAGACACAATAGGGTCAACATTTCTAGGTTTCCTACTTGTACCTACGGAAGACCCACTTCCGATGTAGAGTAGATCGTCTACGTAGACGATTAACAGGATGTAGTCCGTGTTCTTTGTGAGCCGGTACATGCCCTGATCATGCGGTAGCTGTTCGAAGCCGATGCGAATGAGGCGAGCGTGCAGGTAATGTTGCCATAGCTGCGGAGCTTGCTTGATGCCGTAGAGCAACTTCAGCAGCTGACCGACTTGATTGGGCTCACCGTTGGAGCCGTGAGGTAATTTGACAAAGATTTCTGCGTCAATAGGTGCGTAGAGGAATGCGTTTGCGACGTCGATTTGCCGCAGCTTCTTCTTCTTCATGGCGGCGATAGCGAGGAGGATTCGGAGCGAAGTGTGTCGACTGACCGGAGCGAAAGTTTCGGTGAAGTCTCGTTCGTGTTCTTGGTCGAAGCCGCGTACGACCCAGCGAGCTTTAAACTTGTCGATGGTGCCGTCAGCCTTTGTCTTCACACAGAAGACCCACTTTCCGGTGAGTACTGTTTTGTTCCGTGCTACGCTGATAGGGACGACCTTCCAGGTGTTGCGTTCCTCCAGTGCCTTTAGTTCCCTGTCCATGGCTTCGCGCCATTTTTCCTTATGTTCCCCCCCCAGAGCATGTTGAACTGTCGCAGGCTCTTTAGGAATGGCTGCGCCATGAACTGCGGTGACGAGGCTAAGGATTTGGAGTCCACTCTGTGTGTAGCGAGGGACTGAAGTGTCCGCGGGACAAACGGCTTCGTCTCCCACTTCTGGATCAGGTGCGAAATTGTGTCCTACGCATTCTGCTTCGTCGGTGTTGACTTGTGCAGGTGTAACGTAACCGTTGTCAGCGAAGTGATAATAGGTTTTGGCGTTGATGCTTTCGCGTGGGTTTACGTCGTCCATTGGCACGTCGACAGAGCAGTAGGGGAGGGGTCCGGCTTCTTCCGAGGCTCCTTCCACGTTCTGCTCGTCCCAGTCAGCTTCGTCATCTGCCGAGGCGAAGGCTTGGGTGCCTTGAAAACCATCGGAGCGATCGGGGTTTCCTTCTTGCATGTTGGCAAGGTAATACCGGAGGGTGAGGTTTTCGTAGAAGATGACATCACGTGCTGCTACTGTTTCCTTTGTCTCGATGTCGAAAATCTTCCATGCGTTGTAGTGTTTTTTTATGCCCAGGTGTAGTCCCCACTCTGCGCGTTGTGAGAATCGGACAGCTCGTGCAGATGGAGGCTGGTACTGTACCATGCAGCCAAAGACCCTTAACATTTTTGTGCTGCCCAGTTTTCCTGTCCACAGCAGGTGCGGTGATGCGTTGTTCGGGAGCGATGATGACGAGAGCAAGTTGTGCAGCATGACGGCGTGGTCCATTGCTTTGGGCCACTGGTGGTTGGGCAGGTGCATGCCACGTAGCTGCTTGCGCATGGTGTTCTGGAGGGTCATGTTCATCCTTTCTGCTACACCTTGCTGTTGATGGGCGTAGGGAAGGGAGATGAGCCGCTTGATTCCCCTTTCAGCCAAGTACTGCTTGAACCTATGTGAGGTGTATTCTCCTCCCCCGTCTGACTGGAAGCTCTTCAGTTTGACGCCCGACTCTCGCTCTGCTACTGGGAGCCACGCAACGAAGGCTTCTAAGGCCATGTCTTTGCTTGGAAGGTTTTGATGCCAAACATATCGTGTGGCGGCGTCGATGAAGGTGATGGTGTAGTTGTACGCATTTTGTCCAGGCTCGCGGTTGTACAAGATGTCGTTGTACACCTTCTCGAGAGGCGCATAAGCTGGTGCGCTTGGGTTGTGGTGAGACGCGAACGGCTGATGCGGTAAGTCAGCTTCAGGACAGGTGAAACATGTTCCTCGAGCTCGCTGGAGTTCTCTGCCGTCAGTTAGGAGTAGAGAGTCTTTATTGAGCACGCCTGCTCTTATCGTGTTGTTTAACACCATGTTGCTTGGATGTCCCATTCTTGCGTGCCAGGTTCCTTCGGTGGCGCGATGTCCGGGTGAGCGCCGATACATATCGGAGTTGGAATAGAATCTGGCGGTGAAGTTGGCGCTTCGATGAACTCCTCGTGGTGCTGGGTGTAGTTGTTGCGCGGGTGTCGGTGGTGTGTCGTCGACGAGGAGTGGTGTCGTTGAAGGACCAGCGACTGGCGTTGACGTTCCTGTTGCTGCCGTTGATGTCTCTGCTGCTGCCGATGTTGTTTCTGCTGCTGCCGATGTTGTCTCTGCTGCTGCCGATGTTGTCTCTGCTGCTGCCGATGTTGTCTCTGCTGCTGCGGATGTTGTCTCTGCTGCTGCCGATGTTGTCTCTGCTGTTGTCTCTGCTGCTGCCGATGTTGTTTGAATTGTTGCTAACGCCCTTGTTCTTTCTGCCTCAGGGATGGTGTGTGAATACCAGAAGCCGCCGGGGCTGAAGGGTGGATCAAGATCTGGAGGATGGGTCCAGGAAGTGAAGGTGACGATGCCGTCGCTGTCTGCTGTGCCGAGATCTGGAACAAAATCAAGAACGAAGACGTTATTTTTCAGGATCGCTTTTCCGATGTAGAGGCCGCCCTTCCCGTGGTACAGCTTGAACTCCTGAGTGGTGCTGTCTGCTTCAAGGTGGATACCTTTAGCCATCAGTTGGCTAACGCTGAGTAAGTTGTAGCCGAGACCTTCTGCGATTAAGACCTTGGACATTTGTAGTATGACGTTTGTTTCTCATGACTGAAGTTGAACGATTCCTTGTCGTCGTGTGCGCAGGCTTTCGTTGTTGGCGACGGTGATGACTACTTCACGTTGGAGTTGGTACTCTCGTTGCACGAAGCGTCCTGAAGAACACATGTGTTGTCCGCAGCAAGTGTCCAAGAACCACGTGTCCTTTCCGGATGGCTCGTTTTGGGCGATGGCTGCGTATGTCGGATCCGGCTGGAGTGAATCGCGGTGAGGTGTGGTGTCATCGAGTTGTTCTTCCGGTGAGTAGTACGGTGGTGATCCCGTGATGCAAGAGTCGCTCAGTCTTGCCATGCAACTGACGATGTTCCTTGCTCCTTGTGCAGGTTGTCCTATTGAGGTCGTTGAGGCTTTAATCTGGGTCGTAGGATTTGCTTGTGTTGAGGCGACTTGATTGCTTGAAGGTCGAAGCTGCCGCTGTGAAGGCGATGACTGTTGTCGATTCGGCCAGTGCGTGAGTGGGTGCCCTGACGTTTTGCAGATGTGGCAGAACGGAGGTACGGGCTTCGGTTGTTGTTGTTTGTTGTTGTAGCGTCGCTGAGTGTGGAATGCAAATTCCGGTGCTGATGTCTTCTTCTTGTGTCGTTCTTCTTGCAGGTCCATGTCTTGTTGCTCGGCATGGATTTCGGCACAGAGTGCTGCTTCGGAGATTCTTCCTGAGGAAAGTAGAACGAGAATGAATTGACTAAGGAATGGGAGTGATACAAATATGCAACCCTAGAAATGTGTACCCCATATAGACTACCCCACTATAGCCTACACAATATTATAATTTGACACACCCCCATAGGCAAAGTGGGGGAGAACAAGAGGTCACAAGACCAGTCAAGCAAAGCAAAGCAAAGCTCAGGGTGGATCACAACGTCACGACACAGTCCGAGCACAAGGTCAAGGCCACAAGGCCAGTTCACATGCAGGAGTGCACATATATATATAAGACTAAACAAGCAAGAGCAGGTATCTATATATGTAAGAGTACAAGATCAAGAGGTGAGCAAGTGAGGCAAGACAGGCACAAGACCCAGCTGAGTGCACAAGCGCTGATGATCACAAGGCGGAAGTGCCTTGGTGAAAACATCAGCAGTGTTGGCCTCAGAGGCCACGTACGCAAGTCGCAACTGACCACGCTGCTGCAGCTCACGAGCAAGAAAGTAGCGGAGAGCAATGTGCTTTGTTCTGTGCTCCAGGCGCTGCTCCCGACACAAGGCTAGCATGGCCTTGTTGTCTACGTACAGCACCGGAGGAGAACGAGGCGGCTCTCCGAGGTCAGTCAGAAGGTAGGTAAGCCAGCGAAGCTCCTGTGCAGCCATGGCCCCGGCGTAGCTCTCAGCCTCACAACTGGAGCCGAGAACAGAAGACGAGCGAGAAGCCCGCCACGAAACAGAGCCGGAACCAAGGCTGAAGGTGTAACCCTATGACGACCGCTGCGTAGCCTGGTAGTCTGCCCAAGAAGCGTCCGCGTGCCTAGTGAGGACCACTGGACTCCGCCCTCCAAGCACTAGCCCCATGTGCTCTGGTCTGTGTCTCCCAGGAGCAACATAGCGTGCAAGAATGCTAAGAGGGTATGCAAGGTCAGGTCGTGTGCAGGTCATCAGGTACATGAGGCAGCCAACAAGCTCTGGGTACGGGCCACTCGACTCTACGGACTCATCCGAAGGCAGAGCTGAGAGCGAGTGGCGAGTAGACAGAGGAGTGGCCTGAGGCGAGGAGTACGTGAAGCCGAAGCGCTGAAGGACCTGCTGCACCATGTGTGACTGAGTCAGGGTAATGGTGCGGCGTGCTCTGTCCCAGGTGATCTGCAAGCCAAGGTAGCTGCGCAGTTCA